TTATATTTACAAAAAATATAGTTAAAAAATTCATGTTCCAGAAAAATATAGGCAACGAAGTGAAATAAATCTTTCTTGCCATTTATCCTCAGGATGATCCCTATTTGCTGGTTGTTATCAGACTCATAGACCATTAAAAGATATTTTTTGAATGAAATTTTGATGATAAAAATACAAACGTTCATGAGGCGTTCACTTTTGGATTTTTCAATTTTAGATTCAACTGTAAATAAAAAAGACCGAATAAGAAAGTCATATAAAATACTTTTATTTCATGAAGTTATAACTTTCAGACAATTCACAATCACTATATTACCTTCTATTCATAACAATTAAAAACCAGAACACAACGAATATAATAACATAAATAGGTAATTTGTTTCTTTTTTTTTTAATAATATTTTCTAATTGTGATAGTTTTTTAAACGCATCGAAATATCATTTCATATTTACTTCAAATGTTTACTAGACTTAAATATACCTACTTAGTTTAAAGAAAACCCTTAAAACTTGACTGACTAATGACCGTTGCACACTGTAATAACTAAAAACTCGTCTATATTAAACGTAAGTTATATGAGCTTTATGTCGGTAAAGTTTTTCATGACTTACGATCAATGTTCTATAATTTACATTTATAAAAATAACCTATAAGGGTTTTTCTCTTTTTTAAAACGTTACCTCCACACTAGTAATTTCTCATATATCCTGTGGGAGCAGTTTACATATATAAATTTCACACGGACAAACATCCAGACCCGGAACAATTATTTGTAGGACATACAAATACTTTAGGATTAAAAACTCATTGCTAAGAGGTGGCAAACCCTTGTTCTAAAACTTCAGTATAACTTTATTTTTCACATTTCTAATATTATTAAATGCTATAATATTTTTTATCTTTCCATCCAAACAAGACGTCTTTTCAATCGATTTAAAAAAAAGAAGTTTCTCAATTTGTATTTTTAAGTGTATTACCATAGAAATGTTTTCTATGTGAACAGATTTTGATTATTCTTTTTTTATTTGAAAGCTGATCCCATATAAATTTGATACAAATTCGATTGTACAAAATTTAGAATTTTACCACATGTTATGTATTTACTGTGATCTGCTTCAGTTGTGTTAAATTAAAGCTATAATGGAAATATATTTAATATATTTGCAAGATATTGTTATATCCTGCAACATGGTACTTGACCATTTAATAATCTTATAGGAACATTTTGTTAAACCCTCGGTCGCAGTCAGACTTCTATGTATACAAGTAGACTGGTGCTACGGTACTAATACATTGCGCATTAAGTTACGGTCAACCATTGAGTTATATGTACTACGTATTAAAGAAGCCTTTATAAACAAAAAAATGTGTACTACTCTATGTCTTCGCGCATGCGCGGGAGATAGTAAAGTCGCGCATGCGCAGTGATTTAAGCGCGTTGCGCCTGCGCGGTCAGTGTTTAATTTAAACTTTAATTTAAAATCTTGTATTATTAACTCCGCTCCATACTGCATGTATATTGTAACCACACTAAGTGATAGAATTCCATATGTATATTCGGAATGCGCAATCTAGTACGTAATATATTTATATATATATATATGTATATATATATATATATATATATATATATATATATATATATATATATATATATATATATATATATATATATAGATGTGGTCAATTATATTAATTAATTATAATAAAGCCCTTTACTCCTCTCCATTGCTCTCTGTGCTACTGCAAGTTTTTCTCTTAATGCTTTTGTGAGGGTCCAGGTTTCGCATCCGTATGTTAGACAAGGTAAAATGCAAGTATTAAATGTTTTTCTTTTTATTGACATGCTTAAGTCTTTGGACTTCACGATCTCTTTTAATGACCAGTATTTCTTCCAACCTGTTGCGATCCTGAGATTAATTTCTTTCGGCATTTGATCTTCTATGGAAATTACTTGACCCAGGTATATGTAATCTTTCACACATTCTAGAGAATCGCCGTTTATTGTGATGTTAGATTTTGTGCTGTTTGTCATTATTTTGGTCTTGTTAGTGTTCATTTTTAGTCCAGCTTTTATGCTTTCTTTATTTAAGTTATTTATCATATACTCGAGATTTTCGGGACGTTCTTCAATTAATACCAGGTCGTCGGCAAATCTTAAATGATGTAGTTTTGACCCGTTTATATTGATGCCATACTTATCCCAGTATACGTTGCGGAAGATATTTTCTAAAACAGCAGAGAACAATTTTGGGGATAAAGGGTCTCCCTGCCTCACACCTCTTTGTATGCTAAATTCATCCCCCAAAGTTTCTAACTGGATTCTGGCCTTACTGTCTGCGTAGATGTTCTTTATAATTTTAGTATACACGCTTGGTATTCCTTGTTGATTTAGACTTTCCCATATGTATTCATGGTTTAAGCTGTCGAAGGCCTTGGCATAGTCAATAAAAGCTACATAAATGTTTTTATTGTATTCGTTATATTTTTCTAGTACCTGTTTGATCGTATGGATATGGTCAATTGTTGAAAATCCTTTCTTAAAACCTGCTTGTTCGACTGGCTGTTGTTCATCTAACAGTTTGCTAATTCTGTCTAGCATTACTTTTGCAAAAACTTTGTATACGTTTGACATAAGGCTTATCGGTCTATAGTTTTCTATGTTTTCCTTATTGCCTTTTTTGTATAGTAGAATTACGTGAGATTTAGTCCATTGTGTTGAAATTTGCCTACTTATTAAGATTTCGTTAAAAATCTTTGTAAGAATTGGAGTCAGTTCTTCTATATTTCCCCTTTCTATTTTGTCTGGTCCCGGGGACTTCTCCATCTTTTGACTCTTAATTGCCTTTTCGACTTCACACAATAGGATGTCCGGCACAGGCTCTGATTTCCCTTCATCAATATGTTGAGTGAGCACTCGTCTGTGGTGACCTATTGTAATTTGGTGCTGTCTAGCATACAGTTGACGGTAGAAACTTGTGGCTAGATCTTTGATATTCTGTCGTATCGTGGTAGTATTCGACTTATCCTTTAGTTTGGGTATCCATTCTTTGCCTACTTCTCGCAGTTCTTTCAAAGCTTTTTTCACACCCCCTTTTTTGTATGTAGTGCTCGAATGTTTTCAACCTCTTGACCTTGCGATCTTTGCGTATACTTTCTCTTATTCTTTTGCTTAAATCTGCAACCAGCTTTATATTTTCTTTTTTTGTTTGGAAAGCTATAAGCTCCTTTCTTTCTCCGATTAGTTGTAAGGTATGCTCACTTAGTTGATACTTATTAGGTTTGTGTGCATTATTTTTTGAGATATACATGCTTTGTAATTCGTTTTCTAGTATATCATATTTCAGTGTTGTTTCTATTTCATCGCTTGTTATATGTTCGTTTGTTTCTTTGAACGGGTTGCACTTCATCAGGCAAGGTTGACTTGGCAATTTAATCATATTGTTTTTAATATGATTGCGAGATATTTTTGTTTGGAATTTTCTAAGAGAGCAGCGTACCATACGATGGTTTGTGTTAAAGTTCAAATTGCTTATAACAGTAGTGTCGGTGAAAGCTCTTGGGTAGTTGGTTATTATATAATCAATTTCGTTTTTATAAGAACCATCCGGGGAAATCCATGTCCATTTATTACATTTGTTCTTATTAAAGTTAGTATTTAATGCTGATAGGTTATGCTCCATTAGAAATTCAACTAGTATCTGCCCGTTGCGACTTCTTTTTCCATGTCCGAACTTGCCAAGTACGTACTCACTATTGTTTTGTCTAGCCCCAATTTGTGCATTGAAATCCCCCATTAAGATTATATGTTTGTCGGTGTTGTTTTTTATAGCTAAAGATATCTCATAATAGAAAGCTTCGAGCACTGATAGGTCTGAGTTTTCAGTGGGCGCATATGCCTGTATGATAGACCAAGGTTTCTTATATCCTGATAGTTTTACATTTATTGTTGCTAATCTATCAGATATTCCTATCAATTCTTGTATACATGTTCTCAGTGACTGTTTTATTAAAAAACCAACTCCTCTACAACCAGCAGTTTCTCCTTTATGGTACAGTATGTAGCTGCCGTGGTCTTCTATTTTTTCTCCCAGTCTTCGCATTTCACATATACCTAGTATGTCGTATTTTATGTTTTCTAATGATTTTTCTAATTCTAGCAAACTTTCGTGAGTTCTAAGGGTTCTCGTGTTTAGTGTTGCGATATGAAGTACCTCACATCTTTTAGTTGGAAGGTAGTGGTCTAGTACTCCCGCGGGGACCAGCCGTGATGGGAGACTGTTAGCTTGTTGTTGTTTATTTTGTTGTAGAATTAATTATATTATATTAATAAAAATAAGCGAGACGCATCGCGACGTTGGCAGGCGCAGCGTGAAGTCGCTGGCGGCGCGGCAACGCAGCTGCGCCTGCCCGCGCACCGGGCACCGTACAATTATTTGAGACTGGCTGTTCCTCGCGACATCGCCCGCGTGTAATTTAGTGTTTTAATTTTTTTTTGCGAGGAACCCTAATTATTTTTCTAAAATAAAAGTAGCCTAAGTTACTCCTTATGACATCAGCTATCTGCCAGTGAAAGTCCCATCAAAATCGGTTCAGCCGTTTCGGAGATTAGCCGCAACAAACATACAGACAGACAAAAATTTAAATAAAATGTATTTTTGTACAGTACAGTTTACACTTTCATATGCATTTAGTAAAACGCTGTAATTTTGACATTACAAACAGACACTTCAATTTTATTTATTTGTATAAATGATAATTATTGACAATTATTTGATAAAATGTATGTCTTTTTGTGTAGTAAATAAAGTTATATTTTGTATCACTATCTTAAAAAGTGCGCACCGCGTCGCGTCGCGTCACGTCTCGGTGTGAACTGACCCTAATGGTTTTGATTCGAATTAAAATATTTCATCCGGTTCTTTTTTTGCGAAATTTACAGCTTTGAGTTAGAAGAACTCCTTAATTAAATCAAAATAATAAATTAAAACATAAAAATAGTGAAAGTAAAAACTTTAATAATGAATGAAAAAGCGAATGAATCAATGAACGAATGGATCAAAGTAAACAAACCAGTTAACACAATCGGTTAGTCTTTAGAAATTTCATACGCTAAGAATACATTTAAACTTTTAAAAAAAAATTGGAAAAAAGAGACATAAAAATATGGCCCAATCATATTGTTCGAAATCCACCATAACGTCTCCGTTCCGACTCACTTTAAACAGGCATACTAAAGTAATAACAACAACAAATAATTTTTTTTTTTATAGAATAAGTATGATAAACAAGCACACAGTCCACCTAATAGTAAGTAAATGCTAGCCCATTCACATCTACACCTGTCAAATGCATATATGTTGTCACCACTCAGAACTAAGATGGAATGCTTCGTTTCCAGTAAAAAAGGTCTCCGGTTCTCTACACTCACCATACGAAAAGCAGCAAGAAGCGTTAAGCTGCTATTTTACGCTCACTGTGAGAGCATAGTCCTTCCCCGATTGAGCCGACCCATCCGTATTATAACTATAATAGAGCTGTAGCGTGGCCCTACCACATATAAATTATTAATTGTAGGACAGGGTGGAAAAAAAGGAGAAGGGCGAGGTGTCCTATCGATTCTATTTACTCTGCTTCGATCTCTTCTTCGCTTGTTTTTAAATTTCTCCATTATCATGGAAGCTTCATTCCAGAACAACCAGACCTGGAAAGAATACTTTTTGGCCATACAAATAATTGATCCGTGCGAGATTCGAACCTGCGGCCCCCAGCGCCTAACCAAACGCTAATCCAATGCCCTAATGAACCTTCAAAAGAAATTAATGCTGCCAATGAGGTGTACATTTTTAATAATTTTGCCAATTTTATACAGAAAAAAAGGAATTATCTAAAAATCACAGTTCAGATTCCTTATTATAAAAATACATTTTAAATAGTTCATTAAAACTCACATAATTATTTACTTAACAGATAATATACATAATAATCGAGAGATCACAATCCTTATGCTATACAGTATAAAGCTCAATTTTGCTTCACTAAACCCCTACGTGTCGTTTCTGTGAATTCCAGTCATATCGAGACTTTCATCGTCCGAGACATTACAGACTTTGTTCCTAGTGTCACAGAGTTCATTTTCCTGGTCCTTTAATGCCTGTTCTAGGATTTTTTCGAGTTTAGGTTGTACATCGCCAAGCAGAGCCCTTTGTGACGGCTCAGAAGCCCAACACGACTCCATCACCTCCCAACATTCATCTGTAAAGTGCGGTAAGCGTTCGGGGCGTAGACCTGGAAATAAAAAAAAACATATTTTAAACGAGATTTACAACGCATTACGAACATATGACAGGCTGACTTTGTTTGTTTGTTTCTTTAAAACAATGTTACCAACATAGTGAAATTCTCTCCTGTATCGTGGAGATGTTTTACATACATAAATTACACAAGAACAAACATCCAGCCCCGGAGACTCTTTTTCCTGGAAACGAGGAACTAAGATGGAATTGAAGTATGACAACGCATCTGAGGAGGGACGTGTCTATAGGCCACAGCATCCACTTACCATCAGGTGGACTTTGTGCTCGTTTGTCACGTTTATTTTATAAAAAAAATGCAAACACGTGTTCTATGTGTGATTCTTACCCGCGGCCTTTAGTACCGCAATTCATTGCTTAGCCAATGCCGGATCGGTACTGAGGGTAATATGGTCCATCCGGTTAATATGGTGACTTTCTCATAACTCAAAATCTAAAGCCTTGTTTGCATGGATAGTTCTATGATACGATAGCTCATAATCATTCAACCAAATAATAAAGAATCAAAAGGGTGCTGCTTTATCGACACCATTTTAGTAAATTTTAGTATTGTGTAGTGTAGTTAATTTTTTTAAGTAAATTTTTCGAATGTTCCTAATTATTGCCAAAGCATGTTTGCTATTTTTTACTTAATATATTAGTTATAGAATTTATATATAGACTTTCTGTTTTTGTATCTGTCCTCCTCATAGTCTTGGTTTTATAGGGCGGCAAAGCTTAAGGTGACCATATTACCCTCACGTACCTTAGTAGTGGTAACGATATTAACATCATTAAATGATTATGTTCTAACATACTATCCTACCTTAGTAGGGCGTAGCGGATTCAAACCCACGACTTGCCGAGTTTACATTCCGTACACTCAACTATTAGTCTCCTTTTCTCACTAGGTGTCTGTCTTGATAGGTAATAGGTTACCCAAAAGTAGTGCGTGCACCGCTAGGTTCCGGTTTGAAGGTAAAACAGTAAAGATGCATACCGTGAGGCATTCCATTTTAATTCTCACTGGTGAGTTCTTTTTTTTGTTTTTTTTAACTAAACAGGTAACAGGTGATCACTTACCATCAGGTGGGATCACTACCCTATCTGTTATAAGTGATGATGTAGCCAAAGATGACAAAGTGCAAGGACTTAACAAAAGTCTATTCAATATTCATGGTACAATCAACGACAATAAATTAATTGCTCTATCAATCCCCACCCCCAAAGCTCAATTGTCGTGTGTCCAAATCCGCAATTCGACTACTCTAGTAACGGACTTCTAACAAAAGCATTTTAAAGTTACCTGGAGTGGTTGTTGGAAATATTTGTAATATTTATAACATTACTAGTATTACTTTTTTTTAAATAACATTTTGCTTCGCGAAATCTGCTAGTTTACTACAAACATACCTCGCTTGACTTTACTCCACAGCTGCTCTTTATTCTGGAATGCTTCGAAAGCTGTCGGCAGTTTTATGTTTCCCGCGCAAACATACCTGAAAGCGAACGCGTAAACTTTATTAGGAAATATATTATGGAAAATGTTATGAGTATACATAAAGAATACATACGAACACAGTTAACGTCACAATAAATGGATTGTGGACACTTAATCGTAAACATTTCAAAATTTTGTAAATATGCCACACGTGTATCAATGAAATACGTTTAATAAGAAGTTACAATTAAATCAATATATCGTTTTGTGCAATTTATAATTAATTAATAAATGCTCTTTGGACGAAAATATGTTTCCCAATAGTTCCTTGAAGATATCGTTATTCAGTATTACAGGTTATCGCGTATGCATTTGGCTCGGAGGACCATCAAGCATTAACCGCTCCATTATTTTTGGAAAATTTCACAGCTAAATAAAGGTTTTGTCACTAACAGTTTTTAATATTGTCTAGTTGCTTCTTTACGAGGTAGAGTTATGTTCCAGTTCTATTATGGTTGTAGTCTGAATGGGAGGTCTCGACTGGGGAAGGACCACGCCTTTAAATAATACTTGAAATGTCTATTTGCCTAGCGTAAAATTGTAGCTTAATGTTGCTGTGTTTCCGATGGAGATTATAGACGTTTTTACTGGAAACGAGATAGTTCCAATTAGCCCTAAGGGGCGATAACGCATCTGCATTTAGACTCTTAATAGAATATAGTTGTAGGTGGCAATGTACCACAACATCCACCTATCATCAGGTATGTGTGTATGGTAATGGACTGTGCTTATTTGTTACCCTTTTTTTATAAAATATACCGCTGGCCATTTCTAAGTGATTTCTTTTTGGCCTGTCCTCCACGTAGTGTGCACTGTTTTATCAAAAGAGTATGTCCAACACGCAGAAGTCTACGTAGTGGTGTCTCACTCTCACTCTCACCAGAAGAGTATGCCGAACGCGTAGACGTCGACGGCGGCGTCGTAGTCGCCGGCGAGCAGCTCGGGCGCCATGTGCACGGGCGTGCCCACCACGGAGCCCGACATGAGCGCCTCGGCCGCGCAGAAGTGTACGTAGCGGTGTCTCACTCTCACTCTCACCAGAAGAGTATGCCGAACGCGTAGACGTCGACGGCAGCGTCGTAGTCGCCGGCGAGCAGCTCGGGCGCCATGTGCACGGGCGTGCCCACCACGGAGCCCGACATGAGCGCCTCGGCCGCGCAGAAGTGTACGTAGCGGTGTCTCACTCTCACTCTCACCAGAAGAGTATGCCGAACGCGTAGACGTCGACGGCAGCGTCGTAGTCGCCGGCGAGCAGCTCGGGCGCCATGTGCACGGGCGTGCCCACCACGGAGCCCGACATGAGCGCCTCGGCCGCGCAGAAGTGTACGTAGTGGTGTCTCACTCTCACTCTCACCAGAAGAGTATGCCGAACGCGTAGACGTCGACGGCAGCGTCGTAGTCGCCGGCGAGCAGCTCGGGCGCCATGTGCACGGGCGTGCCCACCACGGAGCCCGACATGAGCGCCTCGGCCGCGCAGAAGTGTACGTAGTGGTGTCTCACTCTCACTCTCACCAGAAGAGTATGCCGAACGCGTAGACGTCGACGGCAGCGTCGTAGTCGCCGGCGAGCAGCTCGGGCGCCATGTGCACGGGCGTGCCCACCACGGAGCCCGACATGAGCGCCTCGGCCGCGCAGAAGTGTACGTAGTGGTGTCTCACTCTCACTCTCACCAGAAGAGTATGCCGAACGCGTAGACGTCGACGGCAGCGTCGTAGTCGCCGGCGAGCAGCTCGGGCGCCATGTGCACGGGCGTGCCCACCACGGAGCCCGACATGAGCGCCTCGGCCGCGCAGAAGTGTACGTAGTGGTGTCTCACTCTCACTCTCACCAGAAGAGTATGCCGAACGCGTAGACGTCGACGGCAGCGTCGTAGTCGCCGGCGAGCAGCTCGGGCGCCATGTGCACGGGCGTGCCCACCACGGAGCCCGACATGAGCGCCTCGGCCGCGCAGAAGTGTACGTAGTGGTGTCTCACTCTCACTCTCACCAGAAGAGTATGCCGAACGCGTAGACGTCGACGGCAGCGTCGTAGTCGCCGGCGAGCAGCTCGGGCGCCATGTGCACGGGCGTGCCCACCACGGAGCCCGACATGAGCGCCTCGGCCGCGCAGAAGTGTACGTAGCGGTGTCTCACTCTCACTCTCACCAGAAGAGTATGCCGAACGCGTAGACGTCGACGGCAGCGTCGTAGTCGCCGGCGAGCAGCTCGGGCGCCATGTGCACGGGCGTGCCCACCACGGAGCCCGACATGAGCGCCTCGGCCGCGCAGAAGCCCAGGTCACACAGCGCGCCGCGCCCGCCTGCGTCCAGCAGCACGTTCTTCATCTTCACGTCGCGGTGCACCAGCCCCAGCGAGTGCAGGTACCGGATACCTGCACACACACTCACTCTTATTTTATCCAACTAACATTATTTTTGGGCCCGCTAGAAACCGGCCCTTAATGGTATTAAAGATTTTATGACAATTTAAACGGAACCGAGAAATGTGAAAAAAAAAGAGTTGTTTTGATATTCGTGTTCTGGTAATGTGAAATAAAAAACATGTAGTAGTTTGAAATTCAAGCAACTCGAATTAACGAAACGAAGCTGTGTCAATTTGTTACAAATTATTTATAAATCTGTTCTTAATAATAATAATTAAAATTAATAGGTAATAATAATAATAATTATTATTATGGTGGGTATTTAAATAGTTTTCTCATCTGGCTGCGCTGCACAAATATATAAATGGAAATGATAAATATACATAAAGAATACGTAAATAAATAAAAAAGCCAACCAGATAGAAGCCTCCGGTAGGAGTAATCAAACGGCCGACAGTTAGGGGGAAAGGGAAAGAAACTGACCGACGATGCGGGCGGTATCGAGGAGCACCGCCTTCTGCATTCGAGCCCGGAGCGGTCCGTCACGGAGTCCCAGTCGCCTCAGATAACCCGAGAGGCTGACTGGGATTAGCCCGTTCGCAGAAACGACTAGGTGTTATTTCGGTCGGCAGGCCACCCCACATGTCGGTCACCTCGTGGCCAGGTCCAGATATTTTGTTCACTTGTCTGTTTCGGCTTTCACGAGGTTTTCTTCATACGGAATCGCAATGTCAACCAAAAATATCCTTGACTGTGCCCGGTCCATCAGCACAATGTCAGGCTTATTCAAAAGAAGAGTTAATATTTGTGATGATGGCCCGGTCCCAGTAGACCTTGGTGCAGTAATTTTCGAGCACGGCTTTCGGCAAGTACTTATAATAAGGCAATTTCCGGTCCACAAGACCGTATTTCAGAGCGAGCTCCTGATGCTCTCAAATTGTTGTGCCTGAGGTTGTGTCTGTGCAAGTACTCAGAGTTAGAAAGTGCCGCACAACCGGATATGACATGGCTAAGTGACTCTCCGGGATGGCGACAAGCTCGACAGATGTCGACGCTCCCATACCTTAGGATGTATCTCCGATAGTTGTTAGTCTTAATAACTTGATCCTGTATCGTACAGACAAAACCCTCGGTTTCCCCAAAGAGGTCACCAAAACATAGCCAGTGGAGGGCAACTGTGTCTATGAAAGGCCCATGTAGAGCCTTGTAGAACCTCCAGTGGAGCTCCTTTTCCTTCGATACCTTCTCCCAGTCGGAAATACTCTGGATAATGATAAAGATAGAGGGTAATCCCTTTATCACACGAGATGACGTGCCTATAGAATGGATCATCCGATCTCGTCAGAAAGTAAATACGTAGGCTGCACACTTCGCGATTATACATGGTAAGCGCGCTTAAAAAGCCACGCCCACCATATTTCCACGGCAAGTACAGCCTCATAATCGATGATCTCGGGTGATGCATCCTATGGGACGTCATAATAGTGCGGACTTTTCTATCCAGGGCGTTAAGTTCAGTTTGAGTCCACCTAAGTATGCCAAAGGTATACATGAGAACAGGCCTGACCCAACCGTTATATGCGTGTGTCTTATTCACACCGAATAAGATGCTGTTAAGCACTTTGATCAAGCGCGCATAAAACACATCACAAACTGACTGTCATACCCGCCTCATCGACACCGATGTTCTGTGACATACCCAGTGTATGTATCGGTATGTTGCAGCCTCGGAAACGGTCCTTTAGTTGATGGAGATAGATAAGTATATGCCCTCAGAGTTAGCAACCATTCCCGTTTCAACATGTAGCACTGCACACTTATCCGTCTCCAGCTCCATTCTAATAGAATTACTAAAATCACAAGTAATGTTTAGCAAATCTATAAGATGGGAGCGACTGGAGGCGAATAACTTGAGATCAACCATAAAGAAAAAGTGGGTCAATTTTGTACCTCCTCTCCGAAGCTGAAATCCCCTCCCAGAACCCTCCAGTAAGGTACTGAGAGGGTTCAGAGAGAGGCAGAACCAGATTGGACTCAAACAATCGCCCTGGAAGATACCCCTTCTTATCCTTATGTGGTTCTCCGCAGCCGTCATCCGCTCGCCTAGATGACAAAGGATCGTACTCCACTGCCCCATACACTGCCCGAAGAAGTCTCGAACTGTACAGTCAACCTTGTACAAGCTCGAGGACCCTCTTAAGCCATGTATAAGGCACCGAGTCGAATGCCTTTTTGTAGTCTATCCAGGCGGCGGAGAGGTTCCGAAGGTTACGTTTAACCTACGTTTAACCACCTTGCCAATGACCGCGTCAATGAGGAGTGGTTCCTTGGTTCCACGACCACTGCCCCGACATCCATTTTGAGCGCGCGACATTACCCGATTTGAGTTTAGTTGACGAGTGATTTTCGCGCTCAAAATAGCTGTTAGTGTCTTGTATATTTATTTTATTATTATTATTAAACTTAATAGGTAGTGTTGAAATAAAAACGTATTTATAGTTCAATGTGTATTTTTTATATAGACACTTCATAAAATAATATCACTTTAACTTTATGACGTAGGTATTTATCATCACCATTACATCCCTTCACAAGTCTACTGCTGAACATAGACCTCCCCAGAAGCAGAATACTGCAATCGAACTCAATTGATTTAAAAAAAATGCTACGGACGCTATTAATGATACTTTAAGTGTTTTACAAAATAAAAGAGAAAATGTGAACGTAATCTACCGACAGCTTCTTGAAGAGGCTAAAGAAGTAGCTGAGCAGCTAGATGTAGAAATTAAATGCCCCAGAATAGTATCAAAACAAATACATAGGGCCAATAACCAACCTGCTCAATCTGCTGAAGATTATTTCCGCAGAGCTATATACATCCCTCTTCTAGATTCAATAATAAGTGATCTCCAGGACCGCATGTCTCCTGATGTACTTAATTTGTTTCAGCTAAGCGTTTTCATGCCAAAAAGCGAATATAGTAATGAAAACATTGAAACTGTGAAACAACTAGCTACTGACAATACATTATTACTAGATAACACTCCAGTTTCTGTCATTGTAAATGAATATCAGCTGTGGATGGTGAAGTGGCAGGCGTGGCAGCGGAGCCAGGACATACCGCAGTCGATTTCAGATCTTATTTTAAATTGTGACATCGATACGTATCCTAATATAAGAAAATTTTTATGTATTATGGCTACACTACCTGTCAGTGTAGCGACAGCAGAAAAGTCTTTCTCTACGTTGCGCAGAATTAAATCGCGGCTAAGATCTTCAATGGTTGAAGATCGCCAAACCGGACTGGCACTTCTCCACGTTCATAAAAACGTACCCATTGACGTAAATGACGTAATAACGCGTTTCGGGAGAAGACGTGGAAGAAAAATTGATTTTGTTATTTAAATATATGTATTTTGTCTGTTTCTATTTTGTTTTTTGGAAACCCTTGTCGTACCACCTCTTTTGCGAAGTTTTGCGTCATACCCCTCGACATACCTCTAGCTGTTATGACAAATCATTCACCACGGTTATGGAATATAAATAGTGTTACGGCGTGCAGCTGCCTATCCAAGAGTAGGATCTTCCCGGCCCATGAAGGAAGATCCCACAAGCAGATGCAGGTCGGGCCTCCTAAAGCCAAAGCGGAAAATCTTTAATTACAATAAACAATAAGGGGGAGCGTTCTATCCTACTGCCATTCAACAGGGAGATTGTTAAAAGCGAGCTTACCTACCTATATCCAAGGCGACTGGTCCCTCAGGGTTCGGTCAGGTCGCATGCGGTTGTATGGTGCATGGGAAGTAAGGGTCAGTGATGTGTATCTGTGTGTGACTGAGTGTGGTAGACCTTATGAGACCGTTGCCGTCGGCAGCAGCTCGGACTTCAGCCCCGCTCCAAATTGTGGTGATCTTCCGCAGAGTCGTCCACAGTCACTTTCTTCGTTCGTCACGAGGACAGTCCTTAACTTTATCGCACAATTAACTAACATCCAGAAGCCACTAACTCTAATTTGTTATAAAGCGTAACACCCAACACAAATACAGAATGGCGATCTATACGAAGTCCCGTTACTATAAGCAAAAACGTAACACACCGCACGAACACGAATGTCCGGATCAATGTTCACTACCGTTTAGCGTGGCAACAATTATTTCTAGAATATCAAATGCCGCAGTAGTAGCTAATATTGTCGAATACCCTTATACAGATTCTGAGTTAGACACAAGAAGTCCCGGGAAAAGCTCTCAAACAAGGAATGCGCGATACGAATGCTAGACAGTATATTTACTAGACGCGTCTAAACTATTCCGCGTTCCCGCACAAAAAAATTACAGCGTGCTGTCCCAAGCACAGCTGTCAAACGACTCCTGCGCTCGCGCGCCCTCGCCACACCGCTCGACCGAACGTCAAAACCGGTATGGCACCGAGCCGAGCGCCCGTTTCGTGCGTGATAGTGCTTCTCTGGATGTCTACAAGAGAAGATGGCAATATGTACGTGTATATGTACAAGTTATTATGTGTTAAGTTTTTCAAGTGTACAATAAAGAATAAATATTTTAAGTACAGTACTTACGTACATTAATAAAATACCTACTTTTTACTTGTATCTATTGTTATCAAAATTAAATTATAAGTTCTTGACTTGACCACGACTATGTGACCACCCTTGTGGGAGAGATGTATGTGTTTAATTTTGTAATATTATTAAATCTGTGCTATTAGTTACATTTAATTTTCCGTATTCCTTTAGTCGAATGCGGGCGAGAACACTAGTCATTTGTTTTTTAAACCGCGAAAGTTGTTTCTGACAATGTAACGTTTGATTTTGTTGAAATAACTAACAAAACGCACTCATTATTTATGTGCGCACTTTGATAGCGTGGTTTGAAGTTTATTTCAAAAAGTAATAAAGAACAAGGGCAGAAAAATAGTTGACAAAAATGATTGCGTCTAGAAATAAGTAATATATAAAATGAGTTTTATTATTTTTTTATGATTTATCAAATAAAAATGTATTTTAATTAAAGCCACAGAAAAAAAACAAACATTTCTGGGAATATCAAATGACTTATATCATTTTACTCTATTCAAGTGCTGCAATTTACTATAGTCATACTATGTTCATATACACTTTGTAAGACTACCAACACAACACACAAACACAAAATATTTTTTATTAAGTTATTATTAGTAATAACTACGCCATAAGTAATAATAAAAATAAAAGTGATATGGTTGAAAATAAGTCTCTTACAAAGAACTTTCTACAATGATACATTATCTCAATCATAGTACTATTTAACAATTCCATTTAATATTATGGCAGCACTAGCTAAAACAAAATGTCACTGTTTTTTTACTGGCTTTACGGCTCTGGGTTCAAGCCCTTCTGAGAATGTCGCTATATGACACAAAGGCTTTGGAGCCATTCCTGAAATATACATTTATAATATGCAAATATATAATAGAGATACAATAATCTAAAAACTCTCAATTATGTAGGTAGGTACATTATGTTGAGAATGTATAAGCTAACATCAAACAATCACAGGACGCATGACTTTTTCTAAGCGACATAAGACATAACCTAAAAAGGTTCAAATCTAAATATTTTTTTTGACGCCTTCTCAAGACAAAATTCTTTGACGGAGTTATTAAGGGACTGACGCTTAACATTTTAAGATATTTTTGATATATAGGCGCTACCATTCCTTCTCAACTAATTTTATGTATGAAAGTCTGCCATTGTTCTTTGATTTCTTATTTCTCTAAAAACAGTAACTGTCATAATTGAAAATACAACTGCGCGATATATTTACCGTGTCAGCTACATCCGCGCGATCTAAAGCTGTAGTTAGGATTGTTAGATGGTCGGGATTCGTCTGGATTCTCGCGACATTTTAAATGATCTTCAGATTTCAGACAAATCTTAAAATATCCAGACAAACAACTTTTCGGAAAGTTAACGTATGGTCTATGATTTAATAAAAGTTGAGTTAGTAATTAGAATGAACTTTGAAGTAAATTGTTTGAGTTTTAAATCTTTTTGAATATTACTAAAGGGTTCAAACTATAGTAAAGTCCAATGGCAAATACATGAGGCAATCTAAAAATGAAATGTACTGAAAATACTTTTGTTTAAAGTACTTTTTTTGGCCTCTTAATTAAAAAAATAAACATGTTATATTTTTCATATTTATTTCTACCGACAACAGCCCCTAAAGCAGCACAATTACCGTGCACGATGTCACAGGCGACGCGCATGCGCGCAGCGAACGTCAGCCCGGTGCGCACGGCGGCGTGCAGGTCGCGCGCGTAGCGAGCCGACACCAGCAGCAGCAGCACAGTTACCGTGCACGATGTCACAGGCGACGCGCATGCGCGCAGCGAACGTCAGCCCGGTGCGCACGGCGGCGTGCAGGTCGCGCGCGTAGCGAGCCGACACCAGCAGCAGCAGCACAGTTACCGTGCACGATGTCACAGGCGACGCGCATGCGCGCAGCGAACGTCAGCCCGGTGCGCACGGCGGCGTGCAGGTCGCGCGCGTAGCGAGCCGACACCAGCAGCAGCAGCACAGTTACCGTGCACGATGTCACAGGCGACGCGCATGCGCGCAGCGAACGTCAGCCCGGTGCGCACGGCGGCGTGCAGGTCGCGCGCGTAGCGAGCCGACACCAGCAGCAGCAGCACAGTTACCGTGCACGATGTCACAGGCGACGCGCATGCGCGCAGCGAACGTCAGCCCGGTGCGCACGGCGGCGTGCAGGTCGCGCGCGTAGCGAGCCGACACCAGCAGCAGCAGCACAGTTACCGTGCACGATGTCACAGGCGACGCGCATGCGCGCAGCGAACGTCAGCCCGGTGCGCACGGCGGCGTGCAGGTCGCGCGCGTAGCGAGCCGACACCAGCAGCAGCAGCACAGTTACCGTGCACGATGTCACAGGCGACGCGCATGCGCGCAGCGAACGTCAGCCCGGTGCGCACGGCGGCGTGCAGGTCGCGCGCGTAGCGAGCCGACACCAGCAGCAGCAGCACAGTTACCGTGCACGATGTCACAGGCGACGCGCATGCGCGCAGCGAACGTCAGCCCGGTGCGCACGGCGGCGTGCAGGTCGCGCGCGTAGCGAGCCGACACCAGCAGCAGCAGCACAGTTACCGTGCACGATGTCACAGGCGACGCGCATGCGCGCAGCGAACGTCAGCCCGGTGCGCACGGCGGCGTGCAGGTCGCGCGCGTAGCGAGCCGACACCAGCAGCACGCCCGGCGCGCCGCCCGCACCCGCGCGCTGCACCACGGAGCCCAGCAGTCGCACGATGCGCGGGTGCGACGGGATACTCCTGCACACAACATTTCAACATTGTTTCCACGGGGCAGTTTTGCCGACTTGATGGGAAACTCGGTCGCCGTGGACTCACAATGACGCACGCGGTATCAACCGACATGGCACCTCACCAGAAAACTAATGTAACGAGGCAATTCTGCTGACTTGATGGGAAATGTGGTTTGCGTAGATTCACAGTGACGCTCGCGGCATCATCCGACACAGCGTAATATATACGAAACTCCACGATGCCACTTCACTTCGTTTCAAGCATCGAACAAATGTAGACTTAATTAGTATTAGTTCTTTTATTTGCAATATCTTTATAATAGTAGAATAATTTGTTTTTTTTTTGAGTTTTCCGGCGGCGACATCTATAATTGGCCCGTAAACATTGTCGAAATATTAAATTTATTTCTATTAACTTATCTATATCTACTATACATATAAATCGCAAAAACGACAACCGTTGAAGTAAGCGTGTCATGGAGTGTAGACCGCGTTTAGACAAACGTAGTGTAAGACTGGCAAGATTGAACAATGGATCTAGACGGCTGGCCGCAACTGGCTAGTTATGTTACGAACCTGGTGTAAAAGAACTCTATGGCTAGTAGTGTTACGAATCTGGTGTAAAAGAACTCTATGACTAGTTGTAATACGAACCTGGTGTAAAAGAACTCTATGGCTAGTTCTGATACGAACCTACTGTAAAAGAACTCTATGGCTAGTTATGTCACGAACCTGGTGTAAAAGAACTCTATGGCTCGTTATGATACGAACCTGGTGTAAAAGAACTCTATAGCTAGTTGTGTTACGAACCTGGTGTGAGAGATCTCTATGACTAATTGTGTTACGAATCTGATGTAAAAGAACTACATGAATAGTTTTGATACGAACCTGGTGTAAAAGAACTCCATGGCTAGTTCTTGGTAGTGCCTCTCGTCGGCGGGCAGCACGGACTTGACGGCGGCCGGGCTGTGTCCCGCCCAGCTGCCGCGGACTGCGTACACCACGCCATACTGACCACGACCTGAACACGTTTTTGTATACTTTAATTGTAGAACCATTTCGTCAGGTATACGAAATGAAGAAGAATAATATTTTTTATTCAACATACGTTATTACTTTATTACCGTTACCGCTACAGCCTATAAAAATCCACTGCTGAACAGAAGTCTCCCCCATAGATGGCCTCATAAGGGGAGATATTTGCCATAGTTGCCACGCTTGGCTAGCGGGTAGGCAACCACAGTTTTTAGGGTTCCATAGTTATACACCAAGGAACCCTTATAGTCTCACCGTGTCCGTCCGTCCGTTCGCGGTTTTACTCAGAGACCCTAAGTGATAAAAATCTTTAATTTGGCATAGTTATAGATATTAATCACGTCTACAAAACTGTGATATAAAAACTTAAAAACATTTTTATTTTGGGTACCTTCAATACAGGAGGATGATTTTTTTACCTGTCTATTCCATCGTGTGGTGTATCGTTGGATAGGCCTTTCAAAACACTGGGGTGTGATTCAACATCTTTTCGATTCAGGGTTCTGTTTTCGAAATATCTAGCTTTTATTTTTATTTATTTTTCATTAGTCATGTGACTTAATGTGAATTGGATTATTTCTGTAGCCGGCGAGGACAGCGCCGCCACAATTTCCAAAATCCGATATATATAAGTCCGCTTTGAAAATAAATCTTCCTATTGGGGCCCATTTTTAGTCGTTACAAGTACATTATTTGTCAAACTGCGAATTAACTTATTATGCTCATTATCAAGGAAGGCCACGTATTGTGACGGGCAACTACGGAACCCTACCTATACATTGTGCGTGGCCCGACACGCACTTGGCCAGTTTTTATTTCATTCTATTAGTTATTAGGAAAACGCTGTTGCCAATCTACTAATTTGTTTCCTTCTGCTACCCACGGTATGATATGGGGTTGTGGTTATTCTTACACCGCCGTTAGGCTACGTTTCCACCAGATGTGCGAGGTATTTGACGGCTTTGTGGCGAAGTAGCTTAACAATGAGTTGCAACGCTGGGGGCCGCGGGTTCCAACCCCGTACGTAACAAGTATTTGTATGACCTACAAATAATTGTACCGGGCCTGGATGTTTGTCCTTGTGCAATTTATGTTTGTAAACTGCCTATACGAAACAGGAGAAAATCCTAGTGTGGAGGTAACGTTTAAAAAAAAAAGGTAGCTAGGCGGTGCGAGGATGCGTAGCGAGGTTGTGTAACGGTGTGCAGATGAGCGATGCGAAGATGTGTAGCGGGCTAAAAATATAATTGTCTATGGCTGTTCTAAAAAAAAAGTAAAAAGTTACAAATTCCATGTTTTCTCTACACAATACAAATACTTTTGACAAACACCTTCTAGTGACTGCTATTTTTTAGCTCGCGTTCGTCCCTAGTATACATCCCTCGCACACGTCATTCCCTTGTTTTATATGTACAAAAACCTCGCTCTGCTGAGCCGTTACCACTAGTGCTGTACTGAGCGAGGCTAGGTAAATGAAGTGATTCTATTGGTTCTTAACAAACACATCCCTCGCTACACTTCCTCGCACTTTTCTACTGGAAACGCAGCCTTATACTTGAGTAGTGACGGTATATATTTTTTAAGATTTTAGGCCTTGATGCCTGAAATAAAAATATTGTATTGTATTAATAAGAAGATAAGGATATATTTACCAATCTCCCGTCCAAGTTCTGGTGTGCCGTACATAAGGAGGTCGCACATCGACGTACTTTCGAGACATAGCCGCGCAAATGCCGGGGCGTATCTGTGAACAATGCCCTATATAATTGCTCTTCAAACTTAGATAGAGGGCAGCATTAAATTATAGAAAATTTCACACTATTGTTGGCGTGTGAAGAGAAACCATCCGTCCACTAGTCTATAAGAAAATTCAGTTCATCTATACAAATAAATAAAATTGAAGTATCTGTTTGTAATGGCAAAAAAACAATTTTTTATTATTTTTTACTAAATGCATATGAAAGTATATATGGTGCTTATAACAAAAACACAATTATTATAATTTTTGTCTGTCCGTCTCTCTGTTTGTTTCCGGCTAATCTCCGAAATGGCTGGACCGATTTAAACGAGAATTCCACTAGCAGATAGCTGACGTTATAAGGAGTATACATAGGCTGCTTTTATTTTAGAAAAATAATTAGGGTTCCGCGTAGAATAGTATAGAATAGAATAGAATAATTTTTTGTTCAATATAGATTACATGTGTAATTCTTATTGAAAGTCTTTTACTTTACCACTGGTTCGAAAAAAACCCTCTGTCCTGGGAAGAACCAGCAAGAAACCCAGTGGGACTTTTTTTTAAAGTAAATTTTACAATAATGGTTGTACAAACTATATAAGTACAAAATTTATTTTAGAAACAGCTTGGAAGCGATCACCTCATTCCCAGGGGTTATTATCAACCATGTATTCATTTATACTATAATAACCCTTTTTATACAGTTTCAACTTTTTAAACATTTAAACTTGCTAATAGAGAGAGCCTGTACACTTTCCGGGACCTTGTTGTAATAGCGTATACATTGCCCCAAGAATGAATTAATGAATTACGTAAGAAATTAAAACCCATAAAATCCAATCGTAATAAATTACACGCGGCCGAAGTTAGTTATTCATATAGACACTGCTATGTACACAAGTAGACGGGTGCTACCGTACTAACACATTGAACACTATTACGATCGATTCTCCGTAACTTCTTTAATCAACTGCCAGAGGGCGGAGAAGACTAGTTTTTTGTTTTGTAAACCGTGAAAGTTGTTTTCTACAATCCAACACTGATTTTCATTACTCAGTGTTAGAGTCGCTGTCATTGTTTATGTGCGCCCTTTGTCAGCGTGATTTGAAGTTTATTTTAGATAAGTATACAATCTTTATTTCGTATTCGCCTAAAACAGTAACTGTCGTAAATGAAAAAAGAAATGCGTAGCATATTTACCATGCAAGTTACCCACCCGCGCCCAAGCGATTTACATCTGTGACATAGTTTATGTTCTGAATTAGGGGGCGTTCAAGTATTACGTAATTTAGGGAGAGGGGGGGGGGGGCTTGTAAAACGTTACGATGCGTTACAGGGGCGGGAGGGGGATTTTAAACAACACGTGACGTAACATTGTTTTTTTTTTTATTTTCATAAAAAAACCGGCGAATTAAAATCTCCCACGTTGGCAACCCTTTTCGTGTATGTTTTGCGGGGAATCCCTCGACCTTAATTTACGTCATTTTTATTTTGTTTTCGTTGTGACTTGCCAGTGTTTGTTAGTGTTTACTTACGCAGAAGCACATTGTTGTAGCCAGTGTTTTAACATATTTTAGAACGAAGCAAAAGTTTATTACATTATGTGTGTTTGTTTATTAAATGGCAATATGAATAAATTAAATAAACAATATATGCATGTATATATTGTGAGTTAGAAACGTCTTGTTTAATTTAGTCTTTTCAGTTAATATTTGAACGCCCCCTTACCGGTACCGGTATAGTAGCATGTACGTAGCATACGTATCATACAATCCTTCAAGTCTTTACGGGGACATGAAGGATTGTATATGTTATTATACAATCAGAATAATAATAATAATATAATAATAAATAAGAATGGCATATACACGACGGGAGGACTGTCCTATCCTGTGTAACGTATGCTGATACCTTACTTTTGATACTTACTTCTTTCTGATGGCCAATTTGACGTCTTCAGTGTGATGCAAGCGATTGGCCAATGCAGTTTCTAAAGACGATAGGGCGCACTGGTATCTTTCATGCGCAACACTTAGCCTTTCCAGTATCTTAAACGAAAAAAACAAACGTTAAATGTTAAACGAGATAAAAGTATGAGTGAGCGAGGCAGCTTACATCACATAATTGACTCACTGGTCACGAAATGACTCTCAAGTTCCTATTATGGCTAACAGTGAACGTCTACGTCTTGATTCTGTAAGCCGTTACTGGTTACGCGCATTGATTGTACCTACACTTGATTTAAAAATTATAAGGTTTTCACACTCTGTTCACAATTATAATGTGCCAACAGTGTTTCTCGCTTAGCATGTTGTAATGTTTGCATCTTGGTTAGGCACTGGAGTGAACTGTATAAGATATTAATATTATAATATACATGTTCGCGCCAAACACTTTCAAGGATTGACGCGAGTGGCGCGCGGGTCGCGAGTGAAAAGGCTCAGTAGTCAGTCGTCTGTCAGGTGTGCTAACAATTGGCACGCTGCCAATTAAGCGCGGGAACTCGGAATAATTAAGCGCGGACAGTAAAAAGACGGTCTAGGAATTTTGTGGCGCGTATCCCTACTGGAGAGCTTCCCCGGGACTTATTGGGTCCGACTCAGAATCTGAATAAGTGCATTCGACAATATTAGTTAGAGCGGCCTCTAATATTCGACAACTAACTGTTGCAGCGCGAAACGGTAGTGACCTTTAATAAACTGTAAACTCCGTGCGTGTTTTGTGCGGTAACCTTATACCCAGCGATAGTTAGTGGCTTCTGTAAGCTAGTTAATCGTACGATAGAGTTAAGTGACTGTTATCGTGACGAACAAGGAAAGTGAATGTGGACAAAGACTCGGAGGGCCCCCTCAAGTTGGAGCGGTGTCGACGCCCGGACTGCTGCCGACGGCTAAGGTCTAGGTTCAATCACCATCAGTCACACCCATATACACACCACATCACCTTCTTTTCCTTGCACTACACAACCACATGCGACCTGACCGACTCCGGAGGGACCAGTCGCCTTGGAAATAGGTAAGTAAGCTTCGTCCAATTCCTTCCGGTCGACTGGCCGTTGTATAGAACGCTCCCCCATATATTTTAGTGTACTTAGAGAGATTCCACGTGTCCACATTGAGGCTCGACCTACGTCTGCTCGGGAAGTCTTCAGCTCATGGGCCCCTGAGGATCTGATCCTTTAAGGGAGCAGCCGTAGGCCGTAACAAACTGGTAGCAGAGCGCGATTCCGGGTTCGATTCCCGGTCGATCCCGACCATAGTGTTTGATAAACATTAAACAATTTTGGTGGCAGGGAGCGTTGGTGTGATTGGTTTAATTTGCATCTACAATCACGCCCGTCCGTAATACGTAAAAATATTCTTTTTGTACGTAATAATAGAATTATTTTCCTTTGTTGCTTTGTTGCTTGCCTTTTTTTTGGTTAGGGGGTAATTTGAAAAGCCGCGCCCTAGGTTGTGCAAGCGGGAGGTTTTCGAGAGATATACGTCATGTAGGTAGATGGTTATTTTTACGTAATCGGTTAATTATCGTTGTCGGATAGTTGTAGTGGATTACTTATCGAAGCGTCGATTTCCGAGCTAGGCATTTTTTGTTGATCGACCGTGATGTGTATCTTCGTTTGTATTGTAATTTGTATTTGAACTAAAGAGTAGTAATTGTATTTGCGCAATTTGAATTTAACTTGATTTGATCGCACTAGTATTTGTTATTTGTTAATTTGATTTGTGTCTTTTCTTTTGTGCTAACTTGTATTTGGTTGATACGTAGTAATTCGTATTTGTGTAATTTCTATTCAACGCGATTTGATAAGAACTGCATTTATTAACTGTTAATTTTTGTTATATTTTTTGTTTCTTATCTTTGTAATCCGTGCTCAAGCCGCGTCGTAATTTGCATTTAATAGTGATGACATCGCCCAAGCTACTGATCCGTTGTTTGCGGACTGAGCTACGCTGGGCCACAAGCGCCCATGCTTTGATAGGTCGACCGGATAGGGTCCATAACTTGATGAAGCAGTTCGAGCAGGTGGATGCTCGAAGGGCCGCAGTGGAGGAGGCTTACGCTGAGCTCGAGGATTCGGATGTGGAGAAGGGAGTCCTGGACACCTGCTTTGAGGACTATGAGCAGTTCTTGTGGCTCACGGACGAGTTGATCGAGGCTGAAGGCAGGTATGCCGAGGAGGCGCGCGAGGCTCGGATGAGTAACCTGCCCGAGTCCTCTCTGAAGCAGCTTCAGCCGGAGCTGTTGGGACAACTCCCAACTCTGGACCTGCCAAAGTTCTCCGGGGTCCTTTCCGAATGGCTGACCTTCGTTGGTCTTTTCGACAGCCTAGTGGACGCCCGGAGTGACTTGACCCCGAGACAAAAGATGGCGTACCTCCTGGCCTCACTGGAGGGGGAGGCCCTGGGCGTCGTCGGCCACTTGAGATTGTCGGACGACGCCTACCAGACTGCTCGGGACCTCCTAGCCAGAAGATACGCCAACGTCCGGCGAATTGCGGACGAACATGTGAGGCAGCTTCTAAGCCTCCCGCTGCTTAGTGACCGGGCCAGACTGCGTCCGGACCTGTTGGATCCAGTCTTGGTGGCCTGTAATACGTTGAGGCGGCTGGGTTTACCAGTGGGCGAATGGGCTTTTTTGTTGCTCCGCATAGTGCTGTCCCGTCTACCTCTCGACCTTCGAATCCATTTTGAGGAGAGGTACGGCGGGGACGAGGCCTCCTATATTCCGCCCTTCTATGACCTGCTGCGGTTTTTAGAGGAGAAGTGCCGGCAGATCGAGAACGCGGCGGGCACCGTTGACGACTTACGAGACGTGCCCAGTGAGAGGCTGAACCCGCCAGGCAAGTCGTCGTCAACCCCCCCCCCCCCCTGCGCCTATTATCGAGCATCTGATCATCGGGTAACGCCGTGCCCGAAATTATTAGGTAAGCCGGTTCCAGCGAGGCGAACTATCGCCAAGGAGCGCCGCTGGTGCTGGTCATGTCTGGGAGGGCACCTCCAGCGAGACTGTCCGCATCGACGGCCCTGTCTGCATTGCCAGGGCAATCATCATGCCGTTTTGTGCCTGAGTGCGAACGGCGTCTCCTCTCGGGCCTCTGCCAGGCCCTCGACCCCCATGGGCGGGGGCGCTCAGCCACGCCCTCTGCCGGGCGACTCTCGGCGCCCGCCGGCCAGCCACCAGGCCCCTAAGTTTGAAAGGGGTCCCTCCCCCGACCAGTCGGGGGGTAATTCCCCCAGGGGCGGGGGTGTCATCACCCCCCCCCCTAAGCGTGTGGAGAGGAACTTCACGGCCACTCATCGGTCCGCTGGACCCTTCTCACTCCCGTTAGCTGGGTGGCCGCGACTGGTGTACCACTGTTCCCCATTTGATGGAGGCGGCCCTGGCTAGCTGCCGCCTTAGCTCCCACCACGGCCACCTCCACTGAGCCTTAAGCCGTCAACAGTCCACTTGTCAAAATGTTCTGTTGCCGACGGCCTCAGTGAAGGCGTACAACCCGAGTGGCGACTGTTAGCGATCTCGGGTTCACGCCATGTGGCCTCCCCTTGGTGGTGGGAAGATTAGGGCCCCCCTGGAGCGTTGAATCACGCTGTCAAGGGGTATTAGATTTGGTTTGGTCGAGCACTTAGTAAAAAAAAATACTTGAATTAAAATTAAAAACTGCTTTGGGCTTTCCGCGAAATTTTCCTATTTGTAGCGGTTTAAATTAAAAGAATTGAATTTAATCTACTCCTTTAATGCTACTGCATGTGTTTTGTACATATATTTAATCACTGCATTTGATTGTTGCGTCTGTTTGCCGAAAGGAAAATTTGAATTCATCTGAAATTGAATGGCGCACTATTTGAAAAATTATGTTTATGTTTATGATAGTGTTTAATCATTTTGCTTTGCGAAGAAGTAGGGCTGTCCCTTACGTTATTGTTTTGTTTAATTTGCAAGTTGACCTATTCGCATCGGTAATTAATTTGGCTGAATTAATTCTGTACTTGAACATTGATGCTTTTGAAAAATTAGTTGAAATATGAGCATAGGACTACTTGCCTAACGGGCTAGATAGTTTTGGAGATTATCAGATTGAAATCAGCTGCCGCACTATTTTAGAAAATGACAATATGGTGGGTGGCCTTCTGGGCCTACTTGTTGAAAATTCATACTAGGGACTATCTGTGCGCTTCGTTCGGCTCTCCACAGACGACGTTCATGTGGAATGTGTGGGTGCTCTCTGCACTGAAGCTTAGGTGGCCACTCTGGGCAGCTTCGTGTAGCGTCGCTGTTTGCAGACCTGATCCGGTCGGATTGCGGAACTAATCATAGGGGCACAGATAGGTGTTTGAAAGAGGTCGTCGAACTTCTGTCCAGTACAGGACTTGTTAAAGTGCTGCGATGCCCAGGAGGGGCATCCAGTGGAGGCTGACCCTCCGGCTTGCCACATTAGGGCTATCTTTTGAGGCGTTGGTTAGGGTTGCAAGATCTGATGGGGTGCCTAAGGTGGCCTAGTTTGGTTGTAGATTCAGTCTTGCAACTTGCCTTCGCGACCTTGTCCCGCTGACCGGTTTGCTCGCGGACCTAAATCCTTATGTCCGGGACGGGGGTTTGTTCGCGCCAAACACTTTCAAGGATTGACGCGAGTGGCGCGCGGGTCGCGAGTGAAAAGGCTCAGTAGTCAGTCGTCTGTCAGGTGTGCTAACAATTGGCACGCTGCCAATTAAGCGCGGGAACTCGGAATAATTAAGCGCGGACAGTAAAAAGACGGTCTAGGAATTTTGTGGCGCGTATCCCTACTGGAGAGCTTCCCCGGGACTTATTGGGTCCGACTCAGAATCTGAATAAGTGCATTCGACAATATTAGTTAGAGCGGCCTCTAATATTCGACAACTGTTGCAGCGCGAAACGGTAGTGACCTTTAATAAACTGTAAACTCCGTGCGTGTTTTGTGCGGTAACCTTATACCCAGCGATAGTTAGTGGCTTCTGTAAGCTAGTTAATCGTACGATAGAGTTAAGTGACTGTTATCGTGACGAACAAGGAAAGTGAATGTGGACAAAGACTCGGAGGGCCCCCTCAAGTTGGAGCGGTGTCGACGCCCGGACTGCTGCCGACGGCTAAGGTCTAGGTTCAATCACCATCAGTCACACCCATATACACACCACATCACCTTCTTTTCCTTGCACTACACAACCACATGCGACCTGACCGACTCCGGAGGGACCAGTCGCCTTGGAAATAGGTAAGTAAGCTTCGTCCAATTCCTTCCGGTCGACTGGCCGTTGTATAGAACGCTCCCCCATATATTTTAGTGTACTTAGAGAGATTCCACGTGGCCACATTGAGGCTCGACCTACGTCTGCTCGGGAAGTCTTCAGCTCATGGGCCCCTGAGGATCTGATCCTTTAAGGGAGCAGCCGTAGGCCGTAACAATACATATTTTTCTGACGTGGTAGAGCTATGCTGCAGCTATATTAGTAATATAATTGTAGCACGAATGGGTCGGCTCGAACGGGGAAGGACCACGCTCTGACAGAATACAAGCGTAAAATAGCAGCTTAACGCTGCTGTGTTTCGTATGGTGAGTGTAGAGAACCGGATACTCTTTTTACTAGAAAAGAGGCATTTCATTTTAGTGCTCACGGGTGACACGCACCTGCAATTTGAATCTTCATTGAGGATAGATGTAGATGTCTTTGCGTCACAGCAACCACTTACCATCAGGTGGACTGTGTGCTCGTTTGTCACCCTTATCCTATAAAAAAGAAATACAGTACATCCCTTTGCATTTTCTATCACGTTCACCACGGGGGAATGATCTGGGGAATTGTTCGAATTGACTCCAGCCGCCAAATTTCACCAACGCATATCGCGACAGAACTCACCATATCATCCACACCATCAGGATGCTTGGCGTTTATGCACTGTCCTCCGATTTATTAGGAGTTTTCATCCTCGCACGACTATTTAATGGACCGATACGACTTAGGGACCTTCAAGAAATGAGCTCTCCTTTTTAGAAGGCCTACAACGCACCTGCAATTCCGCACCTCCAATTGTAGTAGTTCATGGGCGGCGGTCGACACTTACCGTCAGGGTTGCCTCATTCACGTTTGCCCACTCTTCTATATAAAAAAAAAATTACCTGTCCAGAAATGATACGTGCTAATCTTTGAGGGCTGAGCGAGTGTATAGTGTGAAGTGCGACTTGTCTCCGCCAAACCGGGCTCAGCACGCAACACGCATCCTCCGCGTCCCCGCCCACAATACGCAACCTGAAAATAAATATAAAAGATAGAAAATAATTCATCTTTCATTACATCATGCAAATACTTCTATTATATACCCCTTTGCCCATTATAAGAATTTTTGTTTTGTGTTGAATGAGAAATGTCTTATAAGAAATTCAGTCGCATTGGCACATAACAATATGAGACCATACATATTACAAGATTTTTTTTCTTATGTCGCATCAGACATGCTCATTCTAGTCATTTCGTCGGCTGCATGTTCGATGTCGCGCCTACACAAGAGGTCTTGCTTACACACGACGTTTACTCAACTATGTAAACAAGTTAGCGCGTGCACATTCGGCGCGGCTGTGTGAGCAAAAACACGAGTAGTGTCCAAGCTTTCATTTAAATTAAACTTTTATTTAAATTTAACTATCAAACATGAGTACCAAAATCAATATTGAACATTTAATAGCGCTTGTAGAAGAAATACCGGTAATTTAGTACAAAACTTGTGAGGAGTATAAATCTAGAAATTTGTAGACCGCCGCCTGGGATGTTTCATATTACGATTTACGCGAACACTACATATTGAATAAAACTACTTTTACGGATTCTATCGCGTTTAAATAACTTAATGTTATGGTCACGGGGGACCATGGGTGCTGTAAAGGTGTAAAGCACCCGAAACATCGGGAATTAGTAAAAAAAATATTAATTAAACGCGATAGAATCCGTAAAAGTAGTTTTATTCAATATGTTCCATATCGAGAGAAAATTTCAAAGATTTGCCAATGGTAGAAAAAATAAAAAAGTTAACTGTATCATATTTTTAATACAACATAAATCGTGTAATAATAATAATAATCTCAACATCTTAAAGATCTTGTAAGCGCTTCTGCCGGTGACGCCGGCGGAGTACTTCTTAATGACATTAAAATATTATGTAACTTTATGCTTTCTAGAAATGTTAATCCAAATTTCATTCGATTCCTATATGGGGCAAGGTTATGTGCCTTAAAAAAAGGATAACGCTATCCGTCCTATTGCCACATTGCCATTGGTTCCACATTTCGACGCTTAACTTCCAAATTAGCTTTAATACAGTGGAATATTCCATTGGTACAGAGCGTGCAGAAATATTTGTTTCATAATTTCCATAGTAACCAAGATTAGGCACGCCTTCTAGCTTTTTCGACTAAGGAATCTAGTCACTGGTTACACGTTTTACCATCAAGTAATCTTGGCACATTTCTTGATGGGAAAAGCTTGTGCATCGCCGTAGAAATCCGCCTAGGAGCGGCGATTTGTCAACCCCATCAGTGCTCCTGTGGTAGCACGTCGACAAGTTTGGGCACACGGGCACGGCACGATATTTGAACGATGTCATCCGAAGGGCTCTTGTCTCTATAAATGTTCCCTCGATTTTAGAGTCTTGTGGAATATTCAGAGACGATGGTAAAAGATGCGATGGTATGACATTGGTCCCTTGGGAGAGGTAAAGCCCTAGTGTGGGATGCTACTTGCGTAGACACTTTGGCGGCCTCTTATCTCAGGGGTACCTCGTTTAGAGCCGGGGCGGCATCAGAAGCAACTAAACTGAGTAAGTGTCGCAAATATGAATCTCTGAGAGATGACTACATATTTGTGCCATTTGCTGTAGAGACTATCGGTCCGTGGGGTCCACGTGCGGTGAAGTTTCTAAAGGAACTCCATCCGCAACTGGCCGTTGCTGCTGGTGATAAGAGCGCTAGTTCTATTCTCGCTCAAAGGCTATATATAGCCATTCAGCGGGGATACGCAGGCAGCGTTCTTGGCACGATACCGCGGGGAGTAGAACTGTATGATAAACTAGAACTGTAAACTTCTGTGGTACGAAGTATGCAATCACTATAAAACGCTGTCGTTTGTCCATTTGGCACCCGTGTATCCTCCGTGAAATGTGGTTATAGTCCGAAGATTAGACGTCATACATAAATATGTACGATAAACCAGACGAGATATTTTTCTTGTCTAGTGTCCGTGTTATAATGTGCAAAAGGCCTTACGGTTACGGTCAACTACGAAAGGGGCGAAATGCACGCTACCCGCGCGTGATGTACGATCGTCGATCATCATCGAACACACAGCTGTGACACAGTTTATGTTCTGAATTGACGGTCTTGTTGTATACACAGAAGTCTTTAAGATTATACCTCCTTTAGATTAACTCATGGCAATATATTTGCTATAGATGTAACTCTTGGCAGGTAGGTTGGCAGCCGCAGCTTCACGTAGACGTGCCGCGCCGTATACCTCCTTTAGATTAACTCATGGCAATATATTTGCTATAGATGTAACTCTTGGCAGGTAGGTTGGCAGCCGCAGCTTCACGTAGACGTGCCGCGCCGCAAGAGTGTAAGTGTGTGAGAGTGCAAGAGTGCGAGAGTGGGTGAGGAGAGGAGCGGAACTGACTTGCAGAAGAGGCTGCGCAGTGCGTCGAGCAGCGTGCGCAGCAGCGAGAAGCAGGCGCAGGGCTGCAGGTCGACGTGGCGTGCCGCGCCCAGCAGCTGGCGCACGGCGCCGCTGGCCGCGCGCCCGCCCAGCTCCGCGCGGCACACGCCCTCCAGCGACTGCACGCACCTGCACGCACACGCACCGCATCACTGCATTATATTATATGCGTACACACACACACACGCACACGCGCACACGCGCACACGCGCACACACGCACACACGCACACGCACACGCACACACACACACACACACACACACACACACACACACACAAATAGAAAAAGAGACAGAGAGACATACACAACAATAATAGCACCCTCATTATCTGTCTCGACGGTATTGTAGTCGTAAACACGACTGATGAGCATGTGCTACCGGATCGGAATTGGGTTTGGACCAAAATCATTTTCTCTTAATAAATTTAAGTAGTAGCCCAGTCAGAGTAAGGAAATTAGCAGTGTTTAACCCTCGCTCCTCAGAAAATTGGTAAGCCGTTTCCTACCATTATCGTCCTGCGCCGAATCTCTCTTCGGTTGGGTCGGATTATCCCATCGAACTATGCATATGAAAGAATAGACAGTGCATCTTCTTCATCTCATCTTTCCTGGACAATAATTCTATGCTGCACAGTTTCTACTTTTTGCCGAGACTGGCCGCCGTGACCAAAATTCAGTATACTATTATAAATAGGTTCGTTATTCATATAATATGGAAGTAACTACAGTAGGCACGCGAGTTAAATGCAGAGATTAGGAATACGCTAGTGTTGTGACCTAATTGGTAATTAATTAGTGATATGTCGATAAACTGCAAATTAAAAAAGAAATTTTAAATCTGAATGTAAAAGTTTTTTTGTAAATGTTTGTAACCACGTATATATTCTCGTAACTACAAAACAATTTTGATAATATTTTAAATATTTAATACAACACAATAATAATTGTCGAAGTATTATTTATTTCTTAGTAATAGACAAAAATAGTCAGTGTTTAACCATCATCATTCAAGAGAATCTAAAAAAAGACATGTCAGAACCGTCATCATCACTATTCTCTTCTTCGCCGATCTCTATCACAAATCGATCGATAGTTTCTTCCATTAGGCCATCTCTTTGCCAATAGTTTTGTTCTAAGCTCACATGATCGTCAAAGTCGCGCCAATCTTCCTCTGTGATCTGACTAGGTGCTAGCTCTGTAATATCTTTAAGTTTTATTAAAGTTAAATCTGAATCGACATTATGATGTCTAACAATTCTTTTCACTTTTGTCCAAGCAACTCCATCGGGTTGAGATCACACATTTATGGTGGTAATTTAACTACGACATGGCCATGGCTCTTTGGGAATTGATCTACTTTAAACGTCTTTCCTCTAGGCTTACACAAATCAATCAAACGAAAGAGTTCACAGGACTTACGTTGGGACTTTATTTTCTTGTACACTGTGATACGGTGCATTATTTATTACGATGACGCTGTTTGGTGATAGCTTAGGAATATGCGTTCCAGAGATCCAATTTTCAAAGTTTAAGATGACATATATATATATATATATATATATATATATATATATATATCATCTTATATAAGTATAAGGTGATAATCTTCTGCTGGATTACCAGCTTTAAAAAGCACCTTAGCATTATTTAGAAAACCTCTTCCCGATCCTACGTGTACAAGAATGAGCCTGTTTGTGGAACTGGTATCCGTCTACACCGCAACAATCTTATCATTTCTACAGCATTTTTTAAAAGTTTAATTATTATCAACCCAAGTTTCATCCAAAAAGAACATATTTCTGTTTTCTTGTCTATATTGACGGATTTTCGCAAATATATTGACCGAGCAATATCTGGCCTTTTCACTGACACTTATATCCCATTTCTTTTAATAATTTTCTTAAACTGGTCACTCCCCGTGGAAATTCAACTTTTCTCTAATAGCTGCAAAAGTTTATAACAAGCAGGAACAATTTTTTTTTGTTATATAAAATTCTTCTATAGTTCTTTGTATTAAACTTCTATCAAAATCGTCGACGTCCATATTTTTGTTTTTCTTAAACGATCTTCCTTTCTACCGACTTCAAAAAGGAGCCAGTACTCAATTCTACTGTGTTTTTTTATGTGTGATACCTCATAACTTTTTACTGGGTGAACCGATTTCGATGATTCTTTTTATTTGAAAGCTGGTGCTTTACATGTGGTTCCATATAAATTTGATCAAGGTCTGACCAATAGTTTTTGAGTTATTCTTAATAATTTATATTGAAGTCGGTTGTATAAAAGTCAGGTGTAACGGCTCGCTCGAACAAAATAATAATTTAATGGCAAGCTCAAAAACTTCTTTTGTTGTTCTTCAACACACATATCCGGTACTTTCTTCGAAACTTCCCCTGCTTGGCAATGAATAAAAACACGTTTTTTTTTGTAACTTCTTGAGCTGCTGAGCTTGAAGACCCCGGTTCGGTCATATTTAAATACAAAAATGTACGTCAAACACTAAAACGGAATCGATACACGCGTGATAGTTATTAAGGACAACGCTACACTACGGGTTTTCTAAGCAAGTAGAGCGGGCGGGAGTGCACGATCCCGCCCTTTACCTCAGACCCCGACTACATTTAACTCGTGCGCCTACTACGTGAATATACTCACTCTATATTTTTTTATTTGAAAGACAATGCGGATTTCAGTCACAAAGCTATATCTTATCAGCTACAATTGATCTAGTTACTAAAATAAAAAATAATATAGATTAAAACAATATTCCATAGAGAATATTTATCGACTTTACAAAGGTTTTCGATACAGGCAGTCATCCCTTACTCTTAAATAAACTAAAAAATATTGGAATAACAGGTACTGCGTATAATATATTAGAAGAACATTGAATCATTAGATATCATATAGTTAAATTAATCAGTTTGATTATGCGCCCCTTCCTATTACCTACGGTGTGCCTCAAGAATCAATATTAGGACCTTTGCTCTTTTTGATCTATATAAATGACATATACAAATTGAAACTGCAAAGTCATCTTACGTTATATGTGGATGACAACTGTCTATTTCACTTTGGCAATTCAGTTTATGATATCATGTACCAGGTTCAGAAAGATCTAGAATTCTAGATTTACTTTTCCACTGGTTCCAATCCAACTTGCAACTTTACAAGGCGCAGGTTCGGCCTCACATGGAATACTGTTCCCATCTCTGGGCAGGGGCTCCCCAGTGCCAGCTCCTTCCACTTGACCGCATCCAGCGCAGAGCGACTCGAATTCTTTCCGATCGGCTTGACTCACTGGCACTGCGTAGAGATGTTGCATCTCATTGCGTATTTTATCGCATCTATCACGGGGAGTGCTCTGACCACCACTACTGTGCGATTTAGAAGAAGTTTTCTCCCTCGCACAACTTCCTTGTGGAATCGATTACCACCAGCGATTTTTCCGAACCGATACGACTTAGGGACCTTCAAGAAAAGAACCTACTCCTTTTTAAAAGGCCGGCAACGCATCTACGATTCCCCTGGTGTTGCAGTTGTTCATGGGCGGTGGTAGTCACTTACCATCAGGTGAGCCGCATGCTCGTTTGCCCCCTCTCCTATAAAAAAAAAACTTCTCACAATTAACATATCCGAAACTTGTTATATGATGTTCTCAGCAAAAATAAGAAATTTGAATAAAACATTAACTTGTATATTATACTTATATTTGTATAAATGGTGAAGTTATACAAAAGAAAAATTAGGAAAAGTATCTTATGGTAGTACTAGTTAGTACTTGATGATAAATTTAGATTGACGGAACATATTTAATATGTTAAGCCTAAAATTACTTATTTAACAAGCGATCTGCGTAAAGTATTAAACTGTTTGCTTAAACAAGTACGTTTCAATATATATAAATCTTTAGTGAAAGTTTGGGGTAATGCAGCGACGACGTCCAACCGTAAAGATCTTCAAATTTCGCAAAATAAAGTTATCAAAATTTTACTTTATACATACCTAACACCGACTAAAACAATTTACTCTAAAACAAAATTAATTGATTTAAAATAATGGTGTGGACAAATACATTCTCAAATTCGCTTTACCAAGAATAATCAAATAAAAAAGAAAACGTTACGGAACGCTGATAACATATTATACTTACCTATTCCCAGAACATAATATAGAATTAAAAATCTGAAGTATGAAAGAGCTAAATTATATTATTTACTAAGGCCATAAAGTTGTTGAATTTGACAACGATTATAAAAATAAGCATAAACTATATGTAATAGGAAAAATATAATTTGATTTTATTTTTAATTTACAAACAAATATTCTACCTAAAAATTAATGAATTAAAATGTAATGTCATTTGTAAATATGTATGCTCACTGCACAACCTAGTTGTACTAAATAGTTTTGTCTTAGAAGTAAAATTTTGTAATTTCATTAAACTAAACTATAAAAGTAAAGTTGCAGCCTATTTACGTCCCACTGCTGGGCACAGGCCTCCTCTCATTTCTGAGAGGGTTTTAGGGCAAGGAAATGTCCGCCGCGCTGCCCCAATGCGTGTTGGCGAACTTCACATATCTTCGAAAAAATTTTTTTCTTATTTCTCAGACATGCAGGTTTTCTCACGAAACTAAACTATATTCATTAATAATTCACCGATATTGTGATTGTCTTGCGGTTCTGCAAAGGTCTCCCCTAGAACCTTCACAACGCTTTCCATTCCTAGGTTCCACCAAGTAACTCCAGCAATTTTCCAAAGATTATCCTCCCATCTAAGACACTCCCTTTCTTTCGTTTTTTTGTCTTGGACACCACTCGGTTACAACCTTACCCCTTTTTTTACATTATTATAAACCAGTACTTGACCACAACCCCACCTGGTGGTAAGTGGTGATGCAGCTCTAGATGGTCAATCGCACTGTCTTAGCGTAACAAAAGCCTATTCATTCTTGTCTTGAAGACGCCCAGATTGTATTCGGACGGAAAGACGCCGATAAATTATTCCATTTCTTTGCTGTGCGCATTACGAAAGACGATGCAAACCGTTTGGTTCTAATGCGTGGAATATTAACAACAAAGGGTCGAAGACCCGCCTGGCTGTCCACTGGATGAAGTAAGAGGGAG